CCTCAAAAGATCTCAATATTAATGAGATACCTGAAGGCTAGAGGGCATAGCCGTTTAAGTATTCCTTCCAAGACCCTCCTCCCTCCCTATTTAAGTCAGGTATGCCCTGAGAAAGAGGGGAAGATGCAGCCAGATTCATCCACCATCTGCCATGACAATAAAGCTTGTAAAACCATGGACTTCCTCGTGTCTTTGGGGCCCCACTGTGGGGAACCCTGGAAAAGGCCTTTAACTAATGAGCCGCTGCTGCTGCCTAATCTCTCACTGAGGACTCTATGTTCCACTGCGGAGGCCCACCAACTCAACCAAGCTAGCCGACCCAGCCAAGCGAGTGAGTGCCCTAACAAAGAGTCTCTGACCCGCTGGGTGCTGTCAGGGCTTCTTCTTGTCTCCCTTGACTGCGGGCCAGTTCCACCTGCACACCCTCAGTCTCCGTTCTTCTGCGGCTCTCAGCAGCATCTGGGAGCCCAAAGACCACCGGTCCCCGGGTCGGCCACAACAGCCTGGAAATCCCCATCGGGAGCCCTGCCCCTGAGGGACATCAGACTGATTATCTCCCCACACCCAGAACACAAGGCCAGCATGGCGTGAACAGTCAAATTCCTGTGCATCTGCTCCCCAGAGCCACCTCCAGTGGCCTGGGGCAGCAGACACACAGGAATCACAACTCTACCCAACAGGACCCATGCCCACCCACACGAGAGCTATCGACCCCACAGGAACAGAGCACCGAGAACCGTGGGGACAGCAGTAGAACTGACTGCTCCAAGGCTAGCCCATCTACTTAAGAGCACTGGTCCATAAATGAGCTTAGCTGCCTCCTCACTCATTGTGCAGAGCACACTGGTCAGTGCAAACACAGCACACTCGTCCTACTACTTCTGTACTTTTGTTCAAACAGAATTTCATGTAGCCAAGGATAGCTTGCCTACTCCATATGGAACCAGGGATGACCTTGAACTACTGATGTTCTTGCTTCTACCTCGTTCCCTGGACAGTCCTAAATGCTGGAGGAAGGCACTGAGTGACCCCACAGCACCAGGGATCCCAGTTTTCCCTAGTGGGCCCAAGTGTTACAAAATCGTCTACTAAGCAGTAAGCTTTGCATGGTCAGCACATGGCAACGCCTCCAGGTCTTAGTGGCTTTGAGGCAAGTTTCTGCTGGACTTACATAAAGTAAAAAAAATGTTAAGTTGGGAGGGGCTGTGTGGAAAGATAGCTCAGTGGTTAAGAGCACTTGCTGTTCTTGAAGGGGACAAGAGTTAGTTCCCAGCACCCACATCAAACAAATTCATAATAACCTTTAACTCCAGCTTTAAGGGGAATCACATGCCTTTGGGCTCCAAGAGCACCTGAAAACAGATACATAGTTAAAAATAATTTTAAAAGAAAAAGGTCTCAGTCCCCCTTAACTGCATTTGTGGTTGCGTAATAACCTGGATATCCTGGCTCTAAACCAGATGCTTCTTGGACACAGGAGAGACAATAAACTGCAACTAAGCCTGCTGGGAGTGAGAAATGGGAGCAACCTTTCATCATACATGACTCATTTATTATATACTCATAATTTGCTTGCTTGTTATTTCCAGTGCTCTGTAGACAGCCTTGAGGAAACCTCCCAAAGCACAGGATTCTGAGTTGTTGTCACAAACCATGAGGAGGTGAGGCTGAGGGCTTTCCTTGACCCTTCTGCCGATGGAGGGAGCTGAGCATGCCACCACTTCATTAGTGCTTTCTCCTGTTCTCCATGGGCCCTGTAGAAAGGCGTGCATCAGTCACTTTTAAGACAGCTTCACACAGCCCAGAGTAGTCTCAAACCAACGGTAGCCAAGGATAATCTTCAAGTTCAGGTGTTCCTGCCTCCACCTCCCCAGTGCTAGGATTACTACTGTGTGCTACCAGGCCTGGGGCATTTCTCTTCTGTTAGCCCAGGCTATCTTTGAGCTCTACCTCTACTTTCTCAGTGCTGGGATCACAAAAATCTTGAGATCTCACATCAGGCTTTAGCAGTCGTCACTTTCAAATAGGAGGGTAAAGGAAGATGACAAAGACAATGAGGAGTAGGGGGGGTGACACCGCGGAAGGAGGCTGGGCCAGTATGTGGAGACAGGTAAGGATGAGGAAAACAAGAAACAGCAGGGGAGGGGGACACTCTGCAGCTTCAACAGTGTAAAGTAGGAAGTGTGAGTTCCTGAGGGATGCCACCCTGGAACACTCTTTCACCCACCCCCTTCTTACTGGTATCTTCTGCATTCCCTTTCTTTACCCTCCTTCATGATTCTCTTTATCCCTTCATCTCTGAGGCAGAGACTGCATGACTCCATAAAGTATAAAGCACATTAAGTCATCAAGAGAATGTCAGTTGACTGAAAGTATATCAGGGCACTGAAAAGGTCATTGAGGACCTTAACCTAGTGGATGTGTAAGTCTAGGAGAAAGTAAGTCTCGAGTGGGTGAACCCTTCTGCCCTGAGGGTCCAAATGCTGCTGCAGGCCAGACTATCACAGATCAGATGACCCGCCTGCTTGTGTCAGTCCATTTACAAGAAGGGCAAGTCTTACCTGTTAATCATCATCGTCATCATCTTCTGGGACAAAAATGTCATGCTCCTCAAGTAGAGCAGCAAAGTTCTTGCTAATGAGTGTCCCAACATAGAGAAAAGGGATCACAATGGAGAACACACGGAGAAGACCAAAGGACATCTGCAGAGGGAAGAATTCGGTGAGCTCCAGAGACCAGGGCTGTGCCCCAAGCCCCGCCCTCAGAGGCATTTCCTCCAATGGACCCCAGATCCAAGTACCACGTGATTTTTAAAGTCTTTGGAGAAACTCAGAGCAACAAAGAGACAAAGTGAGTTTTATGACCATCAAACGGATATCAGAAAGAAAAACATAAAGCTAAACTAAATTTTGGAAACTAAGCAACTAAAAATTAGGGCCCAACCAGCTAATTCCTTGCAAGAACCATACACATTTGGACGAGAACACTAGGGTGGCTGGGCTGTAACCAGCTCTCTACACGCAAAAGTGAGTTCAGGGGCTGGAGGGATGGCCCAGTGGTTACGAGCACTGACTGCTATTCTAGGGGACCCAGGTCTCGTTCTCAGCACACACATGGCCTCTTACAAGCAAGTAACTCCAGTTTCAATGATGCCAGTCTCTTCTGGCCTCTGTGGGCATTTGGCACTTAAGTGCTGCACAGACATACATGTAGGCAAAACACCCGTACACAGAGAATAAAGTTACTAAGAGGTGTGCACTACAGTAGTCTTCTACCTAGTTCTATTTTAACTGTTTCCTGCTGCTGAGCAACCTTATTTCACATTTAACTTTAAAAGCATGCAAATGCAATATGAACTGGAGGAATGCCAGTAAGATTTCACCGGTATTCACTTTCTGTTTTCCCTAGCCGTGCCTTTATATACAGCAGCTGCACCTTCCTGCTTCTCGCTTAGAACCCTGACTGTGGTTAACTGTTAGTACAGCTCAAGCTTACTCTGAAGAATTTTGTTTTCCCTTCAACTCCACAGAGTCCTGCAGTCAAAAAGCATACCTTTGGTGTAGGAGACTTCCCATTTTCTTTAGGGGGACAGAGGGCAAGTGACAGAGTTCAAGAATAGGAAAACCAGGATGTGATCCCTGGTTGTCCAGACCTAACTCTGCTGCAGGCTTCGGATGCTGGCTTCAGGGCTCTGCCCTGAATTCATCTGTAAAACTTGCACATTCCTCAGGACAGAAGGTCCTGCTCCCAAGTCCCCCTATCCTTTCTCCTTCACTTCCTTTTTTTAAAAAATGTTTCTTTTTATTATTATTATATGTAAGTATACCATTGCTGTCTTCAGACACCCCATAAGAGGCATCAGATCTCATATAGTGGTTGTGAGCCACTATATGGTTGTTGGGATTTGAACTCAGGACCTCCGGAAGGGCAATCAGTGCTCTTAACCACTGAGCCATATCACCAGCCCCTTTCATTTCCTAAGTATATTACCTTTGCATTCCCTTCTCACTTTCAGTTTTTATTTTATGTGCATTGGTATTTTGCCTCCTCGTGTATGTCGACGCGAAGGCGTCAGGTCTTCAAGTTACAGATAGTTGTGAGCTGTCCTGTGGATGCTGGGAGTTGAACCCGGGTCCTCTGGAAGAGCAGTCAGAGTTCTTAAGCGCTGGGCCATCGCTCCAGCCTTCAGGACTGTTCTATCCCATCACCTTTGAGGCAGAGATTGCATGACTTGTATAAATAAATGGGTCATTATGTCCCTCCAGATAAGACATTGCACATTTTGGTGCTGCCCTCCAGCTTCTGTGTCCAGGAACCCAGCTTAACACTGGGTTTTATGGAAGCATCTTCCTCCACCTGTCAAAAGTCAGCAAAACCCAGCTCCGCAAATTGAGTCCTAAGTCCGTGCCCTATGCCAACACTATGATTGGCCTCTGCGCCTGTCAATCAGGATAGGTCATACGCGCTCCCCCAGTGACCAGCCTCAATCCCTTCGCCCCGCCTCTAGACAGACACTCACTTTCACCGGCTTGGGCAAAATGGCGCCGCTGCGAGTGACGATGACTGACCTCGACGGTACCTGGCTGAGACCTGAGCTGCCCGGTACAGTGTAGACATCGCCACCTCTCCTCCCCCTCGGCCCGCTCCAGAAAGCCCCAGTTCGGACTGATACCCAGGCCAGCCGGCGAGCCGCCGTGGACGCCATCTCCAACTCCGCCCCTCGCTGGGAGCCACACCCCACACATGCAGTGCAGTCCTCTCGCAGAAACTGTCTCCAAAACTCGCGAGACTCGTGACACCCACGGGAAGCACCGACTTCCTGCCTGCGCAGAACGCGTATTCCTGTAGTGGTGGGAAAGTCCTTGGCGCCCGACCGACGCGGTGACGTCAGGAGAACGACGCCCCTCCCAGGGTCCAGAGGGCGGGACCTTCGGGGGCTCCCTTTGAAGATGTTCCCGCCCCTCACCTCTGGAAGACTTGAATTAATTAAGGAACCGGAATGTGTAATGAAAAACTTTTTACTTGGTATCTGAATTTATAAAAACAAAACAAAACTGTAACAATAAAAAGGTAACAAAAAGCTGAGCGAAGTGGCGCTTGGGATGCAGAGGCAGGAGGATCTCTATGAGTTCAAGTTCAGTCTGATCTACAATAGTGAGTTCCAGGTCAGCCAGAGCTACATAGTGTAGCGAAAAAACAAGTTAACCATAGCTCATTGTGTCTGTGAACATTGGTAACAACCGGTGCAGTGAACAGCAGGCAGAGGGACTGGCCTGATGGAGGTTGTACCACCAAGTCAGGTTCTCGGACTCAGTTGCTAGCCTCAGACAATGGCTTTGCAGCTCTGACTCCTGGTTCTTCATTTGTGAACACACTGATTATAATAACCAAAATGAATAATTTTCTGAAAGGGTCTCACATATACCCTAGTCTAACCAAAAACTCACGGTGTAGTCAAGGATGCCCTTGAGCTCCACCTGATCCTTCCCTACCTCTTTGCTGGCAACCCTGCAAACTTTACAGTTCTGGTTATAAGGGGAAGGGGAACGAGGAGGCTAGCAGGCCTTCCCACCAGGTCAAACCATCGAGACATGGTGTTCCCACCCATAATCCCAGCACTTACAAAGCTAAGGAGGAGTTCCAGACCTGCGTGGGCTACAGAGTAAGACCTGGTCTCCAAAAACTAAAGAGCAAACAATAACCACTGTGATAAGAAAATTAGCGCAAAGGCCTGTGGTACCTGTGTGTACAGTGGAGGGCAGCTGGCTACAATGTTAGGAGCAGGCTTGAGAAACACAAGAATTGGCCCTGGTCAGGGAGACCATGAAACTCAGTCTCCTGGAGGCAAAGTTCAGCCTTTAGGCCTGGATGGGTTTTGGTCAGACTGCCCCAAGGCCCCAGATAGGGAAAGGAGGGAGGTCAGGAAGGGGCAGATTTTGCTTGGGAACGGGGTATATCTCTATTGAGACCCAGCCACTGTCACTACATCTATATAAAGGGGACAGATGGGCCTGGATTCTGGCTCTGTAGACTCAGCCATTTGGCCTTAAAACAAAAGAAAACAAAAATACTTGGAATGATACAGAAGAGAATAGCTGAGGGCCCTCGGCAGACAAGCCCTAGGAACAAGTGGGATAGGTGACAAGAGTCCCTACAAGTGGCCATGACAACAGGTCAGGAGAGCTTCTCCTGTATAAAAGGCCGCCTGCCTCTCAGCAGGCAACGTCCAGCACTGTACATTGGCAGGGGAGCGAGGGAGAGACGAAATCCCTCTTTAGCACCTGAAGGCCTACTCCTATAGAAAGCCCTGCCCAGGGCACATCGATGTCGGACTTCAAGCCACTTCCTGTCACCTCTGGCATTGAGATGCCCAAGACTTCTCGTGTTGGACATTATGGCTAGAGTATTCTGCAGGGGCAGGAGAGCACAGCCCCTTCCAGTATTACATTCCCATCAGCCACCTGGCCTTTCTAGGCCTCAGAAAATAGGTAGGAAGTCAAGATTCTTCAGTTCACTCCAGTGAGAGGAGAATCTGGAAGCTGGAGAAACTCCACAAACCAGGAGGGACACACACACACACACAGCAACCTGGTAAATGAGTAAATATTTAACCCCTGAAGTTCTGGCCCTGGCGTTCTGACCAGCAGGACAGGGCCAAATCGAAAAGGGCCCTGGCTCAGGGCCGATTCTGTGGCTTGCTCTCTGGTTGGCCCCCCTTGGCTCTTTTCTGCCACCCTCGCCTCAGCTCCATGATCTCCTTCCCATACCAGTCATGCAGGGTAGAGAAACAGGAGGTCTCAGGGGACACGGGGCTCTGTCCCATGCTTAGGAGGAGGCTAGCAGGGCCCTGTAACTCCCACTCGGTCAAATCTCCACCTATTGGCCGGATTCCCTTTTCTTCCACAGTACCGGTGGAATTGCGGTCCCTGGGGAGAAAGTGGCCATTCTCAGAGCCTGGAGCTCGGTGGTCCAGAGCCTGAGATTTACTGCAGCTGGCAACAGCCCTCTGGGATACACAGCGATGCAAGGCCAGGCTCTGACGAGCATCCTGCAACTGGCTCTCCAACTCTCGTACCACAAGTCGCATGTAACCAAAGCTGGCCCGGGACAATGCCTTCACCCAGGCCTCTTGGGCAGCCTGCCCATCTGCTGCCAGCAGGTGTGGGCGCACTCCAGGGGCGTCAAAGCGAATGGCGAAGGCAAATTCCTCAGGTACAGGAGCCTCGGCCAGCTCCACCGTGCAGCCTTCCAATACCACGAGACTCAGTGGGACCCGGCTTTCCCTACTCTCGAAAGAGAATAGCAGATTGCCCTTGAGAACAAACCAGTATCTTCGGCCAGTGCTACTGGGAGTGGGTGGGGTACCCGGTCCTCCCCAACAACGCAGGAAGCCAGTGTGGTCCGCTGGAGAATCACTCAGCGCATAGTGGGCCACGCTCCTCTTGTTCAGTTTCATGGCTCCTCCCACAGGGATGGAGAGGTAGAGAGACAGTAGGAGCCAGGGAAGGACCCAGCTCAGAATCCTGCAGCCCAGTGTGGTGGCTCCTACGGACTGTGTTCCCGCAGCAATCAGACCTCAGCTGAAGGACCAGTCTTCCTTGTCTTTCATCTCAAAAGTCATAAAAGGGTCACCAAAAAAAGAATCTGGACATAAAAAAAAAAACTGTAACAGAAAAGACAATAATTGTTTCAGGAGAAGAGGAATAGCAAGATTTCGGCAGGGTGTGTTGTTTGCTTGAAGATGGAGTCTCATAGCCCAGGCTGCTCTTGAACTCACTATGTAGCCAAGGATAAATGACCTGAGCCAACTGTCCCCATCTCCCCAGTGCTTCCTGAATGCCTACTCCATGCTCAGCTTCTGTCTTGCTAGGCTTTGAAGGCAGGGGCCTGAACTCACTGAGCCCCAGCCCTTCTGGTCCTTATTATAGCTTTCAAACTTGGTCATACCATATCCCTGGCTAGCCTGGGTATTCCTGTTGACATTTTTTTTTTAACCCCCAGGAGGGATGAAAGGGACTCCAAGCCCAAAGACACTTTTGTGCTTCAACCATCCCAAACATGGACTCCCCTCGCACCCCACTGCAAGTCTGAGCTCAACCTCCAGGGATCCCACGATCTTCCTGAGCCCCTACTAGTCTCTGTGGTATCCAGCCCACCTTAATAAGAACATTTCAGAGCCAGATGGAGGCAGGGGAGGGACAGGCCAGTGACCGAGAAAGCCCAGGGTAATCACATGGCACCTGACTAGCACCGGAGGTGAGAGCAGGCTAGGCGGGCTCCGGGAGGAGGTGACCAGGGGCGAAGGAGACCTGCTCTGTAAACTCCAGTGTTGTGTCCTGGGACACCGAAGACATACCCACTAAATTCTGGTGCTCCAAGGTTCCTATCCAGCTGAACTGGCAAGGGTCATATGAGGAAGAGTCAGCACTTGGTCTTACACCTTCTAGGTGGGGCTTTGTTGGTGACACACTTATCAGCGGAGTCCACAGAAGGGGACAGGGTGGCCTCTTATCTAACCACACAGCTCAGCCACATGGTTTCCAGAGAGCCTGCAACACAGTTCTCAAAGAATGTGAGAACTGCTCTAACTTGAGGGCCCCAGTGAAAAGGCAGCCTCTTGCAGGAAGCGCTGCCTCCCCATTTTAATGACCAGCTCATCCCCTAGGACAATTGAATTTCACTGTGTCTCTTGGCCCTCTGTCTCTTGACTGTAATTCTGGACCCCCTGGGGCTAGGTAGGTCAGTGACGTGCCAGCCAAGCTTTCCTGGCTTTCCCTTTGGGATTTTGTCAGCAGGGTATTGCAGAGAAGTCTGATTACCGCTGTACCCAAAGTGGCTTGATCTAAGGTCAACTAACCAGCAGTCCTCTGGCTTTGTCCCTTTCGCGCCACACCCCTCCCACCTCCCTGCCCCGCCCAATGTTTTATTTAGCACTGCAGGACATTTGCAGGACATCTAGAGTGGGTTAAGTTTGACTGTCCAGTAATCGCCAATAATCAGCACTGTGCAGACTTGTTGAATTCGTGGGAATTCATCAGTAGACAAAACAAGGTCCCCGTCCTCCTGAAATCTACTTTCCAGCAAAAGAGACACGCCGTAAGCAAATATAATTAAATAAATAATGAATTAATCAAGTAGTGAATGATGAAACCGTAGCCAGGAGGCGGGAGGGGAAGAAGGCTCCAAAGAGAGAAGCAAGCAGGCCTGGAATAGAGGAAGACCGTTCTAGCCGCAGCCCTCTGTGGGCCCCAAGGAGGGGCTGAGTCCACGCGCGCCTGCGGCTGCGGCCTCTCCCTCGGGCGGCCCTGCTAATGCCTGGATCCCTGGATCCCGTGGGCTCTCCAGCCACGTCCACGGCCACGCCCTCCTGGTCACCTCCTCCCGGAGCCCGCCCGGCCCGCTCTCACCTCCGGCGCCCGAGGGCCTGGCCCGTCGGGTGCGATGCTGTCGCGCCCTGGGCTTTCTCTCTCCGAACCCCGCGCCTCCGCCCAGGTCGCGAACGTGGCTGCAGGAGCCGGGAGACCCCGCCCGGGAGGCTCGGGGTACCGCCCCGGCCGCTCCCCGCCCAGTACCCACCAGGCCTCCGGATCCGCAGAGTCGCCGCGGCTCGCATACTGGAGGGAAACTGAGGCCCTGGAGGGTGGAGACCCGCCTGAGCCACAGAACTCGTCCCTGAGGGGTGGTCTCGAACCCCGAGCTCAACTCAAGCTACCCACAGGCCTCCAGCTCAACACCGAAGAAGAATTCGGGGTGCTCTTTTTCCCACAAAAGTTTCCCCTTACAGCCCATCCAGTCTCTCCCCGATCCCCCTTCCCTCCCGCGCGTGCAGAGCCAAACCAAACAAGTCATGGGATAGGGCGCTTCCTAAGGCGAGCTCCTACACAGCCTGCAAAACCCTGCCAAGGTTCTCAAGTCTTGGGCTTAGCCTCATCTCTACCTCTAGAGATTGGCCATTTCGGCTTCTGTCACCTGTCAGTGTGGGTCTGCAGTCCACTTGTGGTTCTCAGACTCTACCTGGAGTCTGTCCGTAGGCTTGCAGGGAAGACTGCGGGGAAAGCACTAAAGGCAGGAGACCAGTGTGTTCAAATGCCTGCCCAAGGACTTTGTGGGTTCCCACCTCAACCTTTGCTTTGCAGTTCCTGAAGCCCAGACGGCCCTTCCCTCTCACCCTACCCCCACTTAGAGCTCCTTGACATTTAGGTCCCAGCTGTCAGCTCTGAGGTCCCCTCCCTGACCTCACAATGCAGAGAAGCATATACTACATTCTAAGTTTTGCTGGATGGTTTTTTGGGGAGTGTGGTGGGTGGTGGCGGTGGTGTTTACTAACTTTTCTTCAACTAATAGTATCCGCTAGAGTAAATGTGTTACAAGGTGAAGGTCGCGGCGGTGGGGTGGGGGTGGGGGAGAAGAGCATGGGTTTCCTGAGGGGGAAGGGGAGAGCTTGCCGTTTTAAATAGAACGGGCAGAGTAGATCTCACTTGGACATATAATTAAAGGAAATGAGCGTGTCGGCTATGCCCATATCTAGAAGAGCATTCTAGGCAGAGGGCACAGCTGGTCCAAAGGCTGTGTTTGAGGGACCACCAGGAGGGCAATGAGGAAGACCACCGCAGGGAATAAGGTCAAAAGGTAGAGGGTGGGGTTTAGAAACACCGTGTCTCCAAACTATAAGTAGCCATCGGATAGACTTGAGAGAGGAGTGACCAGGGCTAGGTTGGGTTCGGTTTTTTTAGGTTAAGTGTGTGCGCTTTTACCTGCATGTATGTGCACCTGGTGGCCTCAGAGTTCATCAGATTCCCTGGAACTGGAGTCCGGGTGATTGTGAGCCACCGTGTGAGTCTGGAGACGGAACCCCTGTGCTCTGCGAGAGCGATACGTGCTCTTAACCGCTGAGCCATTTTACCAGCCCACAGGGCAGTGTTTTCAGGTTTGCCTTGGCTGCTGTGGAAAAGTAAGGCGGGAAGAGGAGGCCCTTGAGGAGCTTCCCTGAATCATCCAGGCAATATGCGATGAGCCCAGCCTTGCTGTGTGGGATGAGGTGGAATTTAAAGGCAGAGATCACAGGATTTTTTTTTTTAAGAATTGCATGTGAAGGCTGAGGAAAAAGGAAGGTAGGATGGATAGAGAAGTAGGTTTGCCATTACCTGATAAGAGGAAGATGGCAGAGGTTCGGTTAGGGAACAGCCATGATTACCACCCGCGTGAAGGCATCCAGAAATAACGTTTGACACCTAGCATATGTTCAACATACGAATAAGTAATGAGTAAATAAATTTGGGGAGTGGGTGGGCGAACAACCCCTTGGGTGTCAGGTGGAGGGGGCACCCTCCTGACCTCTCGAGAGCTGAAATTCCACCCAGTCTCTTTCACTACCGCTTTTGAGCGGTTAAGAGCAAGGTTTCTGGGCTGTTTCGCCCTCTGTAGGAATTCACCGCACAGCCACTTACTGAGCGCGGGCAGTGCGGGACGCCACCCGCGCCCTCTGGGGCGGAGCACAAAGGCCACCAACCAGACCCGCGGCACAGCGGCGCGCACACAGGGCGCCCAAGCCGACTTCCCGCGGGAGCGCGCCTCGGGAGCGCGCAGAACGCGAGCTTAGATGGGCGGAGCTTATGGAGGCTGGGAGCTGGGGCATAGAGGGAAGGCACGGCGTTGCTAGGGGATTCTGATTGGTTGCTCAGGAAGGGTTGTCCCGTGACATTCCGCCTCCCGGTCGCTATAGGTTCTTGCGGCCGCTGCGGGGGCTTCCAGGGCTTAAGCACAAAGCGAACTGAGCGAGCGCGAGGGTAAGAATCAACCGGGACCCTGGACCTGAGATGTTAAAGAATCGAGAATCGGAACCCACACGGGGATCTGGAACAGGGAAGGGCCTATAGCCTTCCTTCTTCCTGTTAATCCTGGAACTACAACCTGTCTCGGGCAAAAAGTCCTAGACTACTTGTAGTTCTAAAAGAAGAGTTTAAATTTCGGGAATTAATGGCCGGCAAAGGAGTGACGGTAATGAAAGCGACTTGGGACCAAATGTAGAATCCGTAATTGTTTTGTTTGTTTTTGGAGATAGGGTCTCTTTACCCTATCTCCTGGCTGGCTGGTCTCTCTACCCTATCTCCTGCCCTGGCTGCCCTGAAACTCTCTATGTGGACTAGGCTGGCCCAGAATGTAAAGTGATCCCCCTATTTGAGTGCTGGGATTAAAGGTGGGTCCCACTATGCCCGGTGGAATATATAACATCTGTTATCTTCCACAGTTCAACATATAAAGCTGCGAAGAGCAGATTCGATTGGGTCCTGAGATTTGACTCCAAGGCAATGTTGCAGGAGACAGGTACCCTCACCTACTGGGTGGCTTTCATGGGAGGGCTGTGGAGAGGAAAGCCAGCCCTGCTCTTTCTTGATGTGGATATGTGGGGAGAAGGGTTCCTCTGCTTGGAGCTGAGCCAGGAAAATCAAGGAGCTGCTCCACACCCCGGAATCGTTTCCCCTCCAAAAAGGCCACTTCCTTTCTCAGCCCTGCTCCAGTTTAAATGTCTGGCCTGCCATGGCGGCCCTGCCCTGTGGGTACGGTAATTTATCTATAAGGAAACTGAAATCTATGAGCAGCTGGGTATGAGTCCATACTGACCAACCCCTTTTAGACCTCTCTGAGGCGGAGAGCAAAAACTCCAAGGCCTCAGAATCCTAGAGTCTATCCACAATGTACTGCCACTTCTGTGTAAGGAGGGAAGAGGGGATCTGGTCTTACATTGATCAAGGACACACACGACTTCAGGGGTCTCAGTTCTGTTGATTCCCAGTCTGTAGCAACAGCTTTGTTTGTTTGTTTGTTTGTTTTTGGTTTTGCTTTTTGAGACAGGGTTTCTCTGTGTAGCCTTGGCTGTCCTGGAACTCACTCTGTAGATCAGGCTGGCCTCGAACTCAGAAATCCACCTGCCTCTGCCTCTCAAGTGCTGGGATTAAAGGTGTTCGCCACCACTGCCCGGCCTGGCAACAGCTTTTTGCCCCACATACCTCCCCCTCACACTGCACTCATAGGCTGGCTCTCCTGGGCTGGGCCAGGTGAAGTGGCTGGGCTGGAGGGGTGAGGTGAAGCTGGAGGAGCCACTTACTAGTCACCGTCCCCCTCCCACCCACCCCCAGTGCTCTTACTGGCCCTGGTGGCTCAGGTACTGATGCTGGAGAATGGGCTCCTGCGGACGCCACCCATGGGCTGGCTGGCCTGGGAACGTTTCCGCTGT